CTTCTTACGGATTTCTATGTTGGGAGTATTAGGGTCTAGACCTTTGATCACCTCTCACAATTTTAAGCTACTCAGTCTACAGGTGACGTTCTGATATAAGTAATCGTTTAACCGGCCTAACTCTAACACCCTAATCTTATTTCAGTGTACACATCTATGCTCAACCTGGAGATAACATCCATCAATCAACTTGAGTACAAATCACAATATCTCATCGTCCTTTCTAGAATGCAACAATTTTCTACATGTCTAGTTCATGCATATTCTAACCACCAATGGCACGATATGAATGGTTAATTACTTGGATGATGCCTATAAGTATTATTCGAGGGAAGTTCGAATGGTAAATTACTTTGGTGATGCGTGCCTTCCGCTAAGTACTCAATATTTCTCTGATAGGACCTATTTCAAACTTCATTAAGTCTAGTATTGAAATTAGGGAAAAAATTATACAAGCAGAAGTTGAATCAGGTGAAAAATATCCCTTTAGGTGCCCTCACGTGCCTACCATGCTCAGGTAGGGTGTCTCACACGTGCCTACACACACACTGAGAAACGTGTTCTCGTGCTACAAGCAGGCCAAACAATTAAGCACTAACATATGTAGATTTTGTTACATTTTTTGGCGTTTTGATTGTGCCCTCTACCGTGCATCAACATAATTTTATTCTTTTAACAAATCATAAATATTACTCTCGTTTGTGACAAAAAAAAATTTGTGTACAAGCGTATGCATAATCATAAAATTAGATCATGCGTAAAAATAATAACTAACCATCATAATCAATGTGAATTTTTGTATAGGTTTTATTGTATACTTATAAGAGTATATATATATATATATATATATATCAATAAAATATATTCCTATGTATCCCAATTTAGATAAGTATATTCCAGAAAGGAAGATTCAAAGTTTTAGATTCTCACTCAAACCTATATATCAAAAGATGCAAATATTTTTATAGTAATGACACAAAAATTTTAGTTCATAGAATTAAATGTTTTTTCTTTTAATTTTTATCGTGTTGTCCACGAATCGTATTCTTAAAAACGAGATAGAGTCATTTAATATGAAACTTTGATATTATTTTTATATTGGCACACTCCTATAAATACCAAACTACGAAAGGAAGAAAAATCATCACAAAGTTTTCTTCACAATATATTGAATATTACAATGGCCGCGGTTGTCCATGCTCCAAATGACCCAATCAACCAATTGAAAATTGATGGAAACCTCCTTTGTCCAAGCAAGTGGATACCAATTCCTAATGTCTCCGAGATCTGCGTGCAAAATGTTGCAAAGTTTGCTGTGGAGGATTACAACCTTGAACATAAGGAGAGTTTCAAATACAAGAATATTAAATGTGGTTGGTTTATGGAGCTCAAGGGTGAAGACCTCGCCTTCCGCCTCCATATTGAGGTGAAAGATTGTCTAGGACGTGTCTTTGAGCTGGATGTCGTCGTGTCTGAAAAGAAAGCATGCGGTGAAAAAGTCAGAAAGCTCGAATCTACCAAACTTATTAAAAAACACTATTAAACTCTTTGTTTGTACTTTACAACTTTACGATGTACTATCTATATGGGCTAATATAAATAATAAAATAATAATATAAAATAAAACTTTTTAAGGTACAATATCTCTTTTATTTCTACCTAGATTATAACTAATGTTCGAGCATAAACAACCTAGCTAAAACAATTTTATATATATAAAAAAAAAAAAAAAAATCTATTTAATCTTTTGACAATAACTTTTAATATTTTAGGGTAGAATGTAATTTGAAATCGATTAATATCTTTCGTTCAAATAATAATTTTAATCGATCAATATTTTCACGTAGCTGAGTTCAATATTTTTTTAGCGGATTCATTGTAGAAATACAAGTTCTATGACACTTAAAAATTAGATGATTCATGCTGTGAGAGTGTCAAAAGTATGCAACTTTTCAGTTTTTGACTTATTGTCACCTTTCAACTGACAATAAGTTGCTCCTGAAACCATCTAAGTTCGGAGAAGGTGATTCACCTTTTTCTAGTGTCGTGATTGGCCGAGCAACATATCTCATCTCCAGCGTGAATTACTCTTTATTTCTTTGACTTATGATAGCTTGATTAACCTAAGCAATAGTAACCGATATCTAATGTTAAGGCGTTATTTTAACAAACTCTCTCTATAAGGTAGGGACAACATGGTGAGTCTTAGCCTACTCGTCATCCATGGGAGGTAGCTAACGAACCCATCTCACTGACCTTGTAAGGTAAGGGGCACTACCCTCTATGCATGCTAACAATCTTTCAAGTCACATGATTAATACCCTCCCACAAGACAGATACACCCTGCAAGATAACCAATGACTACTTGCATGATCAACACTCACCCATATGACAGATCTAGAGTAATCCAACAATCTTTCAAGTCACATGTTTCTAAACATCCTAACATCTAGCTCAATGGTACCTTATCAGAGTGGAAGGAAAAGTGGAAGGTACCATCCTTATTGGACGGTTCTATCGCAGACTGGGAAGGCTCAATGGTACCTTATTGGAGGGATCAGGATCCAACAGTACCTTATAGATTCATGATGATCGTCTAAACATTGTCTACCCTCTGATATTTTTCATGCAACTTGTATAATAACATACTAAAAATTTAGAATTTAATTCCAAAAAAAAAACTATCAAATCAAAAACCTAAAATGTTTATAACTTAATTCCAAAAAAGAAGCCATCAAAATTGAATCAAAAAAGAAATCCAAAATCCAAAATGTTTATTTTATCAATTAGAAAAGTAGATTCTATAAAGGATGATTCAAAGTTTTAGTATGACACATTCTATTAAAAATTCTATTGAAGTGAACGAATCCTTATCCAAAAAATTTTCTTTTCTTCTAACTTTATATCATGTGACATACGAATCATATTCTTAAAAATAAGATAGAATGGTTCGATATAGAAAATTTATTATTATTTTCACATTGACACGCTTCTATAAACACCATTTGTCCAAGCAAGTAGATACAAAAATGAAATTCTATAAAGTGGCGAACCTTATCTAAGAATTTTTCTTTTTTCCTAACTTTATAACATATAATAGACAATTCATATTCTTAAAAATAAAGTAGAATTGTCTGATATGAAAAATTTGTTATTATTTTCACATTGGTACGCTCCTATAAATACCATACTACTAAATGAAGAACGGTCATCACCAAGTTTTCTTCACATAATATTGAACATTACAATGGCCGTGGTTGCTCAGATTGCTTCAAATGACCCAATCAGTCAATTGAAGATTGATGGATGTCTCATTTGTCCAAGCAAGTGGATACAAATTCCTGATGTCTCAGAGGTCTGCGTGCAAAATATTGCAAAGTTTGCCGTGGAGGACTACAACCTCATACACAAGGAGAGTTTCAAATACAAGAGCATTAAATGTGGTTGGTTTATGGAGCTGAAGGGTGAAGACCTGGCCTTCCGCCTCCATATTGAGGTGAAAGACTGTTTGGGACGTATCTTTGAACTGGATGTCGTAGTTTCTGAAAAGAAAACGTGTGCTGAAAAAGTCAGAAAGCTTGAATCGGCAAAAATTATTAAGAAAAACTGATCAAACACTCGTTTGTACTTTGTAACCTTAGATGTACTATCTATGATTATCTAATATAAATAATAAAATAAAATAAAACTTTTAAGGTACACGTATCTCTCCGTATTTAAACTATGCATTAACAATGAGGTTCTTTTATTTCTATCGACATATACTTCTAAAACATTTTTAAAAAGGAAAAATAAGTAAGGAGCAAATGAGCGTTTTCTCAAATCTAGCTTTTAAATTTCTTTTCCATAAGAAAAATCATATTTTGAAATTAGAACTATCTACCTGTCAATATTTTCGAAACAAAACCTTTCACTCAATCAAAACTTCCAAAACATCAACCTTTCAAGCTAACAATGCTTCCAAAACCGAGACCATTCATCTAACCAAATGTCCAAAAGTAAAGAGACGAGTGAAAACGAGCTGAAAACTTTTTTAATAAGTGTTCTTAAATTTTTTTCAAAACTCTCATTCTATGGTTCACTTAATGAAATGGTTTTTGTCCTTTTAAGGAGAAGGATTACAAGTTTGGTGAAGGAATCGAGCAATTAAATTCCCTAGAACCGAGGATCCCATTCAAACTAACCATGTAAAAAATTTTAAAGTGGGACTTTTCCCTATAGGCAAAATTAGTCTATGCCAAATGCTTTTTGTACTCCGAAGGAACATATTGCAGTTCTAATACCCAAGCATGTATGACTCAAAAAGCATAGATATCGTATGAGTTGTGTTCGATTGACAAAAGAGAACCTCACCTAAGGTCTGAAGAAGTCATGAAGACAAGCGAAACATGTGAATGGGGCTTGTATTTCCTTTAAAACTTGTCATGAGCGTGTCAAGATCATGACTCCACATGATTAAAAATGTATGAGCGTGACAACTAGAATCCATATCTTTTATCATTTATTCAATATGATTATCGATCTCAGTAATCCATGTCTGATTGTCATAATGGCGTATTCTAATCACACAACATCCAATCCTCAGTCTCATTAACTCAAGTATATGATTAAAATGGAACATGTCAATCATATAACATATAATAATGAGGCAACTGATTATCAAACTTTGGTGAAGTGGGTATTTCGAGTTTCGAAAGCTCTTTAGGTACTTTCGGTAATGACATCTCTAAAAGATTTCTTGCACTCACATTCTGAATTGAAGAATCAAAGCTCAATAACATAAAACCACTCAATATAAGGCACAATACAAAAGTAGAGAAACAAAGACTAACCATTTTAACACAACGGCGTTAAATATAGATTATCGATCATAAAATAAACTTGATTTGTTGATGGTTGCTACCATGATGACCTTTTTATAAATAAAAGAGACCAGGAAAAAGATTGAAGTTAAAGTTCCACTTCTATGTAAGATAAAGCTACATAGATCACACCAAAAGAAAAAAAAAACATATATTTATATATATAGAATGTAATATAGTTTTATAAATTTTAAAGACCATATCTTAAAAGTATAGAAACACAGATAATTAAAAAGAAAACTTACATAAATCACTCATACACTTACTAGAAACCATAATTAAAAAGAAAAAAAAAAAGTACAGTTTTTTAGTCGTATATGAGGTATGTTTAGTTCCACTCTTGTAAACCAAAGTTGAATATGGCATTCAAGGTTTAAGGGTAGATATATGTGGTGGGTTGAACGAAGGGATAGGAATGTCCTTTGGAAGGGTAGGCAAAACAGGCTTTGGGAGAGGTGTTAATTCCGGCAACTTAGGAAGTTCGGGTTTAGGCAAGTTGGGCAATTTTGGTACTTCGGGAACCTCAAATTTAGGCAATTGAGGTAATTTTGGGAGCTCAGGTTTCGGCAATTTGGGTACTTTAGGCTTTTCCAAAGGAGGTAACTCAACCTTCGGCAATGGAGGAAGCTCGGGCTTTGACAAACTGGGTACTTCTGGCTTCGGAAGCTCTTCAGGCATCTTGGGTAGTGGCATCTCCAAAAGATGTCTCGCACTCATCATCGTGACAAAGCAATCAAAACTCATCAACATAAAAGCACTCAATATGAGAGAAGGTACAAAAGTCGAAAAGTAAGTAGCCATTCAATTTCGAAATAATCAATATCAATCGTGAAAGGAACTTGACTCGTTTATGGATGATCTCCATGGTTAGGATGCAGAGGTTTTTATAGATAAAAGAGACGTATGAGCATACATGTTGGGTAGAAAAATTAGATCGTTAGTTCAACTTTCCCACCTACTCATATCTAAATTGCAAAGTGACCCACTAATTTTAGCATCTTTCTTTGTAAAATAATTCTCTAATGTACTTTGATTATATTATTTATTCATATGGAGTTAACCATTAACAATAGCTTTTTCATTGTTCATATATACTTTATTTTTTAAAAATAATTAAACAATATTTATTTCATTCTTCGACCTAAAGTTAGTTTACAAAAATAGATTTTTTTTTTTTTTTATTACACGAGTTCTTCCAAGAAAATGAAAACAATAGTCGTAGGATGTATTGCCATTGCCTGAAATAGAAGTAGCACGTGGTGACCCTACTGTTGCTGCTAAATGCAAACACATGCAATTTCCTGAATAAGACCTATCATAACATTCTAATTTCCTACGATGACCATCATAAACGGGCTAATTTGATGTGTATTTACTATTCTACACACGGTCCACACGTGCGAGTATGGACCCACTAGTCGATTCTCCACCTCCTAGTCTCCTTTCTTGTCAGGCGAGCATTCTCTAGTAGTTGTTGATGTCGGACACCCGTTTAGGAATAACGACTGTTGCAGGATTAGGATAAACATAACAATCGTTTTCCTGTATGACCGTCGCAGCATTATGATAAACAAAATGATCGTTTTCCTGCCTAGTCGTCGCAGCATTATGATATCCATAATGATCGTTTCCTGCCTAGTCGTCGCAGCATTATGATATCCATAATGATCATTTTCCTCCCTCGTAATATACGCGTCCGTACTATCATAAAAAAGGTAAGGGGTATCCTCCAATGCATGAGCACACAAAAAATGCATGAGGTCCAATATTTCTCCATTTTCATTATCAATTAATACACCTTCATATAATATCATATCATGAATCATAATAGTCACGAAGCATATTTCGGGCATGCCTTCAACATATCTTAAACTAAGAAGAAAATTTAGGATCGTTACAACTAATCTTCTATTGGATTTAAATATGCATACACATTGGAAGTAAAATTTGTATTAACATTGAACCAAATATTTAAAAAATTAAGTATATATATACATTCAAGAAGGTGTTGTTAATGGTTAACTCCATATAAATAAATAATAGAACCAAAGTACATTAGAGAATAAATATATACTCTCGAACTCAATATTTGTTGCAACAAACTTGATTTATTTTACAGATATGAGTAGGTGGGACGTTGAACTAATGATCTAAGTTTTCAACCCATCATCTCCTCCAAAGCATGTATGTTCTCTCCCATACGTCTCTTTTATCTATAAAAACCTTTGCATCCTAGCCAAAGTGATCATCCAACTATCGTAAACAAGTCGAGTTCCTTTCACGATTGATATTCTATAAATCATTTCTCGTTACTGTCTTTTGATTATTTCGAAATTTAATGGCTACTTACTTTTCAACTTTTGTATATTCTCTCATATTGAGTGCTTTTACGTTGATGAGCTTCGATTGTTTTGTCACGGCGGTGAGTGCGAGACATCTTTTGGAGATGCCATTACCCAAGGTGCCTGAAGAGCTTCCGAAGCCAGAAGTACCCAGTTTGTCAAAGCCCGAGCTTCCTCCATTGCCGAAGGTTGAGTTACCTCCTTTGGAAAAGCCTAAAGTACCCGAATTGCCGAAACCTGAGCTCCCAAAATTACCTCAATTGCCTAAATTTGAGGTTCCCGAAGTACCAAAATTGCCCAACTTGCCTAAACCTGAAGTTCCTAAGTTGCCGGAATTAACACCTCTCCCAAAGCCTGTTTTGCCTACCCTTCCAAAGGACATTCCTATCCCTTCGTTCAACCCACCACATACATCTACCACTAAACCTTGAATACCGTATTCAACTTTTGTTTACAATAGTGGAACTAAACATACCTCATATACGACTAAAAACTATATTTATTTTTCCTTTTTTAGCTATCATTATTAGTATGGGTACGAGTTGATTATGTATCTTTTCTTTCTTCTTATATGTGTTTCTATACTTTTAAGACGTTGTCTTTTAAATTTATAAAACTATATTATATGACAAAAGTTGAATTATATATATATACTTTTTTTTTCTCGGTGATCTAATAGTTTTATCTTACATAGAAGTGGAAATTTTAATTTATATGGCAATAAATAACTGGTTCGACAATCATCTTTTAAGCTGATATGTTATGGTATAGCAACGATTGACAAACATTATCAATTCATAATTAATATTAGAATAATTTTAAAATTTATTTGGAAGATCATGTTTAAATAATAACTTAAAAAGGATACATAGTATATCATGTTAACACTATTGATAGGCCCATTTTGTAGTTTCTATAAATTATTTGATCTAAATCATTCATGTCGAGACACATGAGTGGGTGTATCCTATATAACGAGATTGAATAAGATTAGACCACAAAATATTTAATCTCTCTTTATAAATCTGTTAATGGAGAAAATTGATATTTCATAAGACGATCATATGTGACTCAATCTTAATCTTCAGTGAGGTATGAACTCCTACCTATGAAGGTTTTTCCTTTGGTTTACATGTGAGAATGACTTAAGCCAATTAAATATGCCTATCATTTTGGTGACTTGGCCAAATAGAGAGCTCAAACATCATATCACAAGATGGAATTCACTCATTTACACGTGGGGAAAGTAGATGAGTTGTTTAAGTGCTGATTTCAAGACTTGAACAATGGGGTCTCACCCTCTCATTGATTTATAATTGGATCACAAACAAGAGGTTCATTTAGTGGTACTTAAGGTGAAAGATGTAATTATATGGGTAAAATAGACTTTTAACCCGTGCACGGACGCTCTATCCTTACCTAAAAAATAAAGGTAGCATATAGCTTCAGTATTGTAAGATATACTCGTTAAATAACCCCATTGTTGAGGTTGGGTATTGCAAACACATACCTACACGATGGGACCTATCCTTTAAAATCGTAACAAGGTCTTGATCTCTTTCCAGTTCTGAGCAAGGTTAGATGTGTGGTACTTCCCCATACACGGCCCATGCACGAGCACATGGATCCATCAGGCGAGCTCGTATGCATATCTCTTGCGCCTGGTTTGGTCAAGCTCAACACGTTAACGCGTCGCCAGATGCCACGAAGAAAAAAGCCTGCATGATATCATGACGAACATAAATATCGAAGGTACGCATCCGTCCTAACATAACATAATGAGAAAATATTCTGATGCATATAACATACATAAATGCATGAGATCCCCATGGTTTAAAATCATAACATAACATCAAAATCATTCCCTTCTTATTTTCATCCATGACGTAGTATATGTATGCGTCATGTATACATATTAATCATCATGGTTTTCATCTTATATCATCGCATAATCCATTACATAGTTTTACATGGCAAAACGTAGCATGTCATACATGGTGTTTCATTTCACATATCATGACATAATGAATATCACAAACATACATAACATGGTATCATACGCCATTACATGACACACATAAACATAACATAACATTATGGTGCATGCAGGGGCCATGGAACATGTGTCATCATAAATCATACAATTCTTTCAACTCCAACACTAAGTTCAATTACCTTTTCAGCTTACACTAGTGTCACCAATTTATCATTGACAAATTATTCGGCTAAATGAAATTATTGTTGCAAGAGCATCAAACATCTACGTTATTATTAAAATAGATCACACAACTTCTCCACAATTATTTGATTTTAATAATTGATTAGAGCTTCATAATAATGAAGTGATCTATTTTGGCTAGAGTCACCATCAAACATCGAATTTAAGCTGTCATTATTGGTAATTTTTAACCTAATATTATGGTACTGAGGTTTCGATGTGATTGTGAATCGACATTGTTTGTCAACAGTCGTCCCATCATACAAGAACACTTAAAATGATGGCAATTATGGAATTATCATCGTACATATATAAAATAGTTTGTAATTGTTAAAAAAAAAAAAAATTATTGTAGTAAAATTTCTACGCTCCGTGAGATAAAACTACATCAAAATATGATTAAAACTATCTAATAAAAAACACAAATCAATTTCATATAGAACGACTACATCTTATATAAGTATAAGAACTCAACAAACAAGAATTGAGACCATATATATAAACCTCTCATATGCTTACTAGAAATGATAATTAAAAAGAAGAAGAAGAAAACGAAAGTTTTCAAATCGTATATGAATGTATATTTAATTCAACCAATGTAGACGAAAGTTGAATATAGTATTTAAGGTTTAATAGTAGTTGTGTGTGGTGGGTTGAACGAAGGGATGGGTATGTCCTTTGGAAAGGTAGGCAAAACAGGCTTTGGTAGAGGTGTAAATTCAGGCAACTTAGGGAGTTCGGGTTTTGGCAAGTTAGACAATTTTGGTACTTCGGGAACCTCAAGTTTAGGCTAAGGTAATTTTGGCAGCTCAGGCTTTGACAATCCAGGCACTTTAGGTTTTTCCAAAGGAGTCAATGAGGTAATTTTGGGAGTTCAGGTTTAGGCAATTCCGGCACTTTAGGTTTTTCCAAAGGAGGCAACTGAGGTAATTTTGGGAGCTCAGTGTTTGGCAATTCAGGCACTTTAGGCTTTTCCAAATGAGGCAACTCAACCTTCAGCAATGGAGGAAGCTTAGGCTTTGATAAAATGGGTACTTCTAGCTTCGAAAGCTCTTCGGATACCTTGAGTAATGGCAACTCCAAAAGATGTCTCGCACTCACCGTCATCACAAAAAAATCGAAGTTCATCAACATCAAAGCACTAAGGATGAGGAGGAATATAAAAGTGGAGAAACGAGTAGCCATTGAATTTTCAAAACACTCCAAAGACAATAATACGAGATGAATTATAGATTATCGAAACCAGAAACAATCTTGATTAGTTTTGTGGTAGTTTGATAATCTCCGTGGTTACATGTCTAGCTTTTTTATAGATAAAAGAGACGTGGAAGAGAGCATAGATGCGTTGGAAATCAAATGATGGGTAGGAAAATTAGATTGTTAGTTCAACTTTTCCACCTACTCATATTTAAACTCCCAAGTGACCTCGTAATTTGAGCACCTTTCGAAAATTTCTATTTAAATTTATAAATCATCGAAACAAAGTTCTACTTTTTACGAAAGTTTGAATTTAGTCTCTAGCGGGTATAATTTAAACTTTTATAAAGTATTATTTTATCGTATTTATACATATAATGTGAACATTGGAGTTGGAGCTGAAAATGACATGAGATGAAAGCGGAAATATAAAATATAATCTTGTCTTCGTCGTCGTTTAGGTATTGAAAAAGTTGGAGTCAAGAGTTGGCTTACTTGCCAAACAAGATAATGCTATTAACATATTGACTAGTATGGATGGAATTTGTTGGCCAAATCATGATTGATGTATACCCTATTGACCTTTTGATGATCATAAAAATGTAATTGAATTATTGATGTAGCTTAAAGTTGTCGATGGCCAGTGTCGATGTCCATGTTGATTGCATTAACATATCACACGTCAAACAATTATAGAACATGATACGTGTACGACCATAGAGCACACATTATTCATACGTATACAAGTCGTCCAACTAGGCAAATAGTAAAGTCACTTACTTGGTTGGCCTAAGTCGAAGTCACTATGCTTTTTTAGTACTGGCTTAAAGTTGCTCCTTGAACTCTAATTCTACCTATTTATAATTCTACTATGGAACTTGACTTATCTAATTGCATAAAATAATTGAAACGGGCTAAAAAGTAGTTAAGAATAGCTCTCGAAGAGTTAAAATTGGTATAAAATGATCCGAACGTATCAAATTCAAGCTGAAAAACCAAATTGAAGTCATTAAAAATGTAGTGTTGAGACACCATTGGTACGTCTAAGTGCTACAAATAAACAACACCAAATATTAGCTGCGAGACAATTTGTACATAGATGTCTCGATGGCATCTCGATTTCTCGAATGTTGTTGATTGGCATGGCAATAGAAGCATGGCGATGGTGTCCCATTCAAACTTTTGGCTTCATTTCTTCTCCAATTATAATTATTATTATTATTTTTTTTTTCTTCGCCGTTCAAATGATCTAATTTTTATTATAAAATCAACAAAAGTGTATGTGGTGTCTCAACATATGATAATCAAGGTTTAATGGTAGATGTATGTGGTGGGTTGAACGAAGGAATAGGAATGTCCTTTGGAAGGGTAGGAAAAACAAGCTTTGGGAGAGGTGTCAATTCCGGCAACTTAGGGAGCTCAGGTTTAGGCACATTAGGCAATTCTGGTACTTCGGGTACCTCAAATTTAGGCAATTGAGGTAATTTTGGGAGCTCAGGTTTCGAAAATTCAAGCATTTTAGGCTTTTCCAAAGGAGGCAACTCAACCTTCGGCAACGGAAGAAGCTCGGGCTTTGACAAACTGGGTACTTCTGGCTTCGAAAGCTCTTCATGCACCTTGGGTAGTGGCATCTCCAAAAGATGTCTCGCGCTCACCGCCATGACAAAACAATCGAACCTCGTCAACATAAAAGCACTCAATATGAGAAAAGATACAAAGGTCGAAAAGTAAGTAGCCATTCAATTTCGAAATAATTAAAAGACAATGGCAAGAGAACGAGCTTACACGTTTGGATGATCTCTATGGCTAGAATGGAGAGGTTTTTATAGATATTAAGAGACGTATGGAAGAGATGATGGGTAGGAAAATTAGTGTTAGTTCAACTTTCCCACCTACTCTAAGGACAAGTGACCTTGTAATTTGAGTAGCTTTCATAAAATAAAATATTTATATGAATAAAAAAAATAGTTTATTTGACTTTTAGCACTTAATAAGATTTAAAATAAAATTTAAAAAAAATAAAAGAAAAAAAAAACAAATTTCACCCTAAATATGAATGGAATGAACACGACTCTCCACAATAGTACGATATTGTTCACTTTAAGTATAAGCTCTTATAGCTTTGCTTTGGGCTTTCCCAAAATGCCTCATATTAATGGAGAGAGTATTCTTTGATTATAAATTCATGATCACTCCCTAAATTAGCCGATGTGGGACTTTCATCATTCAACAGTAGACACTCATCGTCTCCTTATCCTAGAAGGTTCCCACGAGCTTTTCTCTCGGCTCTAGAAAATTTGGAGCTAATCTCTAGTATACTTCTATGCAATCGTAAGGCACGACACGTACAAGGGCCACAAAGCACATGTCATTTATAATTCAAACAATTCATCCAAAGCTAATAGTAAAGTCATTTACTTGATTAGCCTAAATCGGACTTATTATTTTATCCTTGGTGTTATTCAAACTATCCTTGGAACACAAGTATTGAGCCAACTATATCAAGTTAGAATATGTTAAAGGGCTTAATCTACCTAATGGTCTCAAATAATTCTTTCATTTAACTTAAGACACTTTAAATTGGTGAAATAGTGGTTGTACTCACCTTAATTGCCTTCATTAAGGTCAAAAGTAGCTCCATAATGGTCGAAAATTGTTAGATAGAGTCATAAAGATCAAATCATGGATCGAGACATGGGTCGGGTCCTTGGACTAGATCAATGCAGGTCAAGAAGTTAGGTCATTGGTGGATGATTGGGCTATGGGCATGCTACTAGGCTAGACTACATAGATCGTTGGGCTGGAGTGGCCTAGGTCGTGGGTGTCACTTGTGTAGGCTAGACAGTCGAAGATGGCACAGGTTCAATCGATATGTCATTGTAACCTCACCATAAATATACGATGATGAAAGTTTAAGTTTTAATGATGATTACAAATTGACGCCTTTATCAATCATCGTTGTACCATACTATCGCAGCTAAAAAGATGGTGATTATGAGGAACCATTATCATACATATATAAAATTGTCATAAAATAAATTTTGTTGTAAGATAAATTAAATTTTCTACTCCAGGTTCAATATTTGATAGAACTATATAGAAATATCATTAATATTATCATAGATAAAAAAAAAAAAAAAAACACAAATCAACGTTTATTAATATAATATAGTGTGGAAGACAATTTCCTAAAAGTATAGGAACACATACATGAATAGAGACGACGAACGTAAACAACTCAAACATTCACTAAAAATGATAATTAAAAAGAGAAAAACAAATATAGTTTTCAGTCGTGTATGAATGTATCTTTAGTTCAACTCTTGTAGCCCGAAGTTGAATATGGTATTCAAGGCTTAATGGTAGATGTGTGTGGTGGGTTGAAAGAGGGAATGGGTATGTCCTTTGGAAGAGTCGGTAGTGGTGTAAATTCAGGCAACTTAGGGAGGTTAGGTTTAGGTAATTCTGGTACTACGGGAACCTCAAGTTTAGGCAATTGAGGTAGTTTTGGGAGCTCAGGCTTTGACAATTCGGGTACTTTAGGCTTTTCCAAAGGAGGGAATTGAGGCAATTTTGGGACCTCAGGTTTAGGCAATTCGGGCATTTTAGGCTTTTCCAAAGGAGGCAACTCAGGTAATTTTGGAAGCTCGGGCTTTGGCAATTCGGGCACTTTAGGCTTTTCCAAAGGAGGCAACTGAGGTAATTTTGGGAGCTCAGGCTTTGACAATTCGGGCACTTTAGGTTTTTCCAAAGGAGGCAATTGAGGTAATTTCGGTAGCTCAGGCTTTGGCAATTCAGGCACTTTAGGCTTTTCCAAAGGAGGTAACTGAGGTAATTTTGGGAGCTCAGGCTTTGGCAATTCAGGCACTTTAGGCTTTTCCAACGGAGGCAACTCAACCTTCGGCAATGGAGGAAGCTCAGGCTTTGACAAACTAGGCACGTCTGGCTTCGGAAGCTTTTCAGGTATCTTGGGTAATGGTGTCTCCAAAAGATGTCTCGCACTCACCGTCGTCACAAAACAATCGAAACTCATCAACATAGAAACACTCAGTATGAGGGGAAATACGAAAGTTGAGAAGCGAGTAGCCATTGAATTTTCAAAACCGTCGAAAGACAATAACACAAGATGAATTATAGACGGAAACAATCTTGATTTGTCTCCATGGCTACCATGCATAGGTTTTTATAGCTAAAACAGGCGTGTTGGAGAAGAAATGATGGGTAGGAAAATTAGATTATTATTAGTTCAACCTCACCACCTACTCATCAGCTTCTTTCTTATAAATAAAATAAAATTAAAGGTTGTTGCAACAAAAGTTGAGCTCCAAAATATATATTTAAAAATTTATTAATTTATTTTACATTTAAACTTTAAAAATCTACTTTACATTTTTTTTTATTTAGAAATCTATTTAAAGTACTTTTGTTATTAACGATTTTATTAAAATAAAAAAAAATAGTTTCTATATATTTTTTTATTACTATATAATAAAAAAAAAATTAATAAATAAAATTCAAAGTAATTGCCGGTGTAAATAGGTTGGGAATTTTCTTTTTTTACCAATCTATGGGGATGACCTGACTAATTTGAATACGACTCACAATCCAATCCAAGCCATATTTTTGTGTTGGGTTAAGTTAGCTCGGTTTATTTTTTCTATAATTTTTTTTAAATCCTATTTATTTTTCGTATATATCACAATAATAAATAAAAATATTATAAAATTTAAAGATTAAATATATATTTTTAAATGAGTCAAATTTGAAGTAAACCAACAAATTAGGAACGTTAACCTTTTAAAATAAAATAAAATAAAAAATTTAAAAATCCTCCACCTTTTTACCGTCGAGTAAATTTAGAAACGTGGTAAAAATCGGATGCACGTGGAGGGCTGACCACGTTACACGTGACGTAATCGTACCACGTGGTGAAATCAAGTTACATCACAAATTTAAAAATTTCTCCTCCTTTTGTTGGAATTAATTTGACATCAGTTCTTTTAAAATAAAAAAAAAAAAAGAAAATTACCATTTACCCGCTGGTTATTTCTCTCCACGTACAAAAAAATAATTACTGCAGTGAAAAATTTAGAAATTGTCGGCTGTAAATATTTTTCTTTTTATCTGAAATCTCCATTACGACATCTCTCAAAGACTGTGACGATAACGAACGGGAAAGAGAGATTAATTTTTGGTGTTTATGAAAAGACTATAATACCCATTCAAACCTACCAAAAGCGGTTGGTATGGTTCAAGTTTCCGGGAGATTCCTGGGCTTTTCGGTCATTTCATGGTCCGAAGGTCTGAGCTCTTTTGTGTTGATTACAGTGGAGAACAGAGGACCAGATCAGTGGAGAGAGAGAGGGGTGGGGGGGGGGGGG